CAGCTACCGACGACGTCACTCCCGTCCCCGCTGACCCCACTCCCGCCCCCACCCCCGCTCCCGAGCCATCCGACAACGTGAAGATCATCACCTTCCCCGTCAAGAACCAGATGTTCTTCATGCCCTGAGCGTGACCGAGCAGACCGTGAGCCACCGCGGGGATAAAGAAATAATAAAGAATCTGAAAACTATCGCCGCTTACCTTCCCCCACACAGTCAAAACAACGACTCGTTTTAAAAGGATATAATGTGTGTGCGTGTGTGTGTGTGTGTGTGTGTGTGTGTGTGTGCGCGCGCGCGCGCGCGTGTGTGAGAAGTAAAGCACGATAGCAGAAGATCAAGTACACACGAGGTAAGTTCCAGGGATCCAATTCGTTCGAACAGGGTTCGCGCGGTTTAAGGACCCTCCCCCCGGTCAGCCCTTAAAAGGCCGCCTGGGCCTGGGCAATGAAGCTAAAATGCAGAAGAATACGAGAAAGACGAAAACGGAATCGCTCTGCTTTTACATTGTGACCTCCGTTTCCTTGTTCCCTGCATCTTCTGCATTTCAGCTTTACCGGAATGCTTTATTTGCCGTTCAAGACTTTGTAGGCGACCCACTCGCCTCTGCGCAGCTAGCGCCTAGCCCGCCCGTCTTGGCCCACACGGGCGGCCCGCCCCGACACGGCTCATCTGTTCCTCGCTATGGTCTAAGCTCTAGCTGAGCTTGGCCCCGGCTTGGCCAGGAAGCTGCTTCCGTGTAGCTTCGGTGATACTCCGTGTACTGCAGTTTCGGGCGCCTATGGCCCGCCAGGCGGCCCGTCCGTGGGCCGGCCCTCATCTCGCTCGCTGCTGCTGGGCGCTTGCGGTGGTCAGGGGCGAGGTAGGCCGCACCGCACGGCACCGCCGCGCCACGGGACTGCCCGCTGCCCGGGCGCCCGCCGCCGCGCTGCTCGGAGAGCTGCGGAGCTCGGAGGGAGGGGAGGCCAGCGACAACACCACTCGTCGCCGTCGCGTCTACAAGTACGCACTTGCGCGAGGAAGTCATGCCCCGTGTTTGCCGATCAAGCGCGTTTAGTTTTCAGCCAGAGAGATCCTGACTGCGCGAGGCATTCCCGCGCCTCGTGCCGCTGGGCAGAATGTCGATTCATAACGAGGCTGGAGAGAGAGAGAGAGAGAGAGAGAGAGAGAGAGAGAGAGAGAGAGAGAGAGAGAAGGGGGGGTCTTAGGCCTCTGCTACGCCGCATGTCTCTGGACAGGCCAGTCAGCCCGACCGAGTATGCAAAACGCGTGTCAGGCCCGGGCGCGGCGCTTGCAAGCAGGACTCGGCGAGCGCACACAGCCGGGCAAGCAGACCGGGCACCGCCGCCAGGCGCCGCCCACCACGGCGGGCTGCGCTGCGGCTCCGCCTCGTCGGATCACCGGATCCAGAAATAAAACCACTCGAGTGACTTGCGCGTGCTGCAAAAGAAAAAGCAAAAGTCGCAGGGAGCCCCGAGGGGTGCGGGGCTTCGCGAACCTCCGCTGCTCTGCGCGCGACCGGCCGTGCCGCCGTGGCGGGCCGGCCGAGCCCGCCCTCGTTGGCACGGGACGGAATTTCTCATCGAGTCGCGTCGTCGCGTGTAACAGGAAGAGGAGGAGGGTCAGGGGGGGGGGGGCTGGTCCTCATGACGCCGTCAGCAGCGATGGCAAGGGTGCCCCTCAATCCTCGAGGTGCTCAATCGGGTCCGAGTCCACAACGACGTGCGTGGGCTGCCTGCTCGAGCGGCGAGGGGGAAACGACTTTGAGGCCTCGATTAGTGCAACATTGCCGCGTTCTACCCCATATTACCCACCCGTGGATTACCTTGAGCGAGCGTACCCCTGGAATCACCCCTGGATGCCCCGCGAGTTGATCTCCCCCCCCCCCCCGAATTACCAGCGTATTGACTCACAGGCCGTGTCTACTAGATGATCCAGGTCATCTCATTTTCCCCTCAACGAAGATCATTGGGTTGGCCCGGGAGTGGGGGGTGGGGTAAGTTACCTACGCCCGCGCGGATGTGGTACGCCGGCCAAGTACGTCGCACGAGTGTAGCCGGCATCAGGGAGGCCTTTGGGTACGACTCGCGCTGTGAACACGAACCACCCCTGACGGGCGCTGGCCACCCGCACCGCCCCCGCCCAGTAGTCATCCTGACCTACTCCACGCCCCGACAGATTCCGCTCCCGCTGCCAAAGACGAGCGGAATCCCCGCTGCCGCACTGTGCGCCACCTCCTCGTCTCCGACGTCCGTCAATATTTACGCTCGTCATCCCAAATTAGCTCTTCTGGCTCGAGTTTCCCCCGTCGGCTCTGCGCGCCTCGCGAGGCTGCCCCAGTCCCGCCCCCGAGCCGCCCGCGCACCGCCCCCGCGCCGTGCCCGCCCTTCCGGCCAGCGACCGGCCTTGACCCTCGGGTGGGCTTCCTCCACAAGACCATGGCAGCGCCGGCTTTCTCACGGCCACTGTCAGCGTCGTAGATAACGTGGTGACGCGTGGGCCTGCCGGGCCGGCGCGGGCCCGTCAGGGTAGTCCGGCCTCCACCAGGGCGTGCGAGGCGTGCGTCGTGTGTAACGTGGGCCTCGAGCTGCCGCCTCCTCCCGCCGCCGTCTGGCGCGCGGACCAATATAAACACAAGACTTGCCCCCTGCACTTCCCTCCCTGCCTGCGCCGCCTGCTCTGCTCGGCCCCTCGCGCCGTCCGGAACAAAGGCAACTATCTCAGGGGCCTAACTGGCACTGGCGGTCGCTGACGACGCCCTGACGGCCGCGCCCCGGCCCGACCCCGACCCTGCTCGGCTGGGCGAGGCAAGGCGACACCCCTAATTTTCGTCGCAATTTTCTCGCCGTTTACCCCCCCGGCGCCCCATCCCAAAAATAAGAATGACAGCGGGTGGCGCCTCTGTGAGGCGCGCCATAGGCGCCGCGGAGCGAGCCTGAGCCCTGAGCCCCCCCAGCCGACGGCCGAGCCTTCGTTCGGCGCGCTCGGAGTGCGTTCGGGTGGCGCTCGGCTCGGCTCGGCCGCGGAGGAGGTTAGTGCGCAAGAGAGGAGGAGCCGAGCGAGAGCGACAGCGACAAGAAGGCGCACGGGGCGAGTGGTAGGACCGGTTCCTCGCCGTCCACGTTTGTTCACTGCGATACTCGCGGTGCAAGACGATAACATAATCTGGAACAAAAACTCGGGGCACAATGGGAGGTGAGTTATCCTTGTGCGTTCTGTTTGGGCCCGCGCACTTGTTCCGTGTTTCGGAAACTCGACCCAAAGTTGCTGCCGTGCGGGGCTGGGTGTACTATTTGACCCCTTGACCTTCATCAATGTAAACTTCAAACTAGTGACTAGTTAAACTTGGCCTTCGTACGTGGCTCCTTGTTATGGGTGCGCCGTTAGTTGAATGAGGTGGGTGGCCTGCTGCCCGCCGTAAGGGATGCTCCTTTGAGCCGAGAGTTTCCTTCCAATTTGGTTTTATTTTGAGTGGTTCTGTGAAGTCAGCCCCCCCCCACCCATTCGTTGAGGGAAGGAATTCATGTGAAAGTTGAATGAAAAGTGGTCCCAACTTGAGTTCTGAATACTCTTAGGGACCTGTATCTTTACTAGCCTCATTAATATCAGTGGTTTTCATTATATCCTGGGTACCTATTTAATATTTGTGGCCAAAGTGTAAGGTGCCTTGTCTCAAATAATACAATAAAACAATTCTTGCTTAACTTCAAATTCATTTTCTTTGGTTTTTCTTGTTCACACATTTATTTAAATTTAAATTTTTAAAATGTCAGTTTGTTTAATGGAAATATTCAAAGTGGGCCTGTGATTTTTATGTCACACTGGGCAAACAAATAACTCTTTTCTAATTTACGTTTGCTTTAAAGTTTTGGGAATAAGTCTGTTGAATGAGCTTTATTGATTCTATCAAATGTTTGTCAGATTTGGACTGGGTTCTAGGAGATGGATGTCAAGACTCTTTCAAATCGGGAATTAAATCAGTCATAATGCCTATAAAATAATCACAATTTTCAACTGAATCCCATCTATGTAATTTCTCTTTTCACTTGGATGAATTTTCATTCATCTGTAAAATTTCAATTTACTGACTGATATATGAAAGAAGAATGTAACTTTTGTGATAGTTGACAGCTTCACAAATTTCAAGGCCATTGATAAGGCTGCTGTGGGTGGAGAGATGGAGCAGGAGGCTCTTCCTTATCCACAACTTTTATTCTGATGCACTTGGTTTGATAGCGTGAAATGTAATAAAATAAGGCCACACAGATATCCAAGAAACGCCCGATTAAACATTACAAACCTAGCCTTCTCTGCTACCTTGAAAGGCAATTTTTCCCGTACCCTTAACACATTTTAAAGGCCTCACTCATGAGAGTTGTGTGGATGGGCCACTGCGTGAGTGGTTGGGAATGTGGGGACTTAGGGTGTGGGGACAGACAAGAATAACCCAGCAGCACTCGGATGTTGGGACTGGTTCTCCCCCCTTTAGCCACCATCCTATTTATATATCTGTGCATATTTTTTACCCTCCTGAAAGTGTGCATTGTTTCAGTGAGATTTTTGTATTAATTCTTCCTGGCTTGTTGATTTTAGAAGGACTGAGTTTTAAAGATCTTTTTTGTCTTTTCCAGGTTTTGCGTGGGTGACACTTGCCACCAATGATTCTTATTCTTTAGGAGCACTAGTCCTCGCACATTCTTTGCGCAGAGTGGGCACTGCACACCAGCTGGCTGTGCTTATCACCCCAGGAGTAACACCCTCTATGAGGTAAAATTATTGGATCATCTTTGAGTTTTGTTCATGGTACTTTCCAAACTAAAATATATTGCTTCTCAAACAGGGAGAAGCTTGGAGCTGTCTTTGACTCTGTGACTGAAGTAAATGTGCTGGACTCACGAGATGCTGCAAATCTTGCTCTCTTGGCGAGGCCTGACCTGGGAATTACCTTCACAAAACTGCACTGCTGGCGCCTAACTCAGTATGACAAATGCTGCTTTCTTGATGCTGACACATTGGTAAGAAGTATTCCCTCTCAATTATGTCAAAGAACATTGTGCCAGTACTAGAGTTTCTCTGCGTGACAAGTGAGTGTCTGAAAACAGCTTTTTTCCCCTCTGTGGTTTGTGAGACTCCTGGATCTCAGCCAACTGTGCACTTTCTGTGGGCTTTCAGCCAACTACATACAGTTTTATCTTGTTAGAAACCTCAACTAAATACTGTTAGTCAAGCACCTATCAGCCTGGCTCGCAGTTAATGCCTGTAATTATGCTCGTTGAAAGCAAAATTTAGTGGCAGGCTCTCTGTTAAATTGAAAGTGAAACTCAAGTCTGCTCTCAAATTATTTAATCAGGCAGTACCTAACTTGTATTTTTATGATTAACTTAGGTTGTTCAAAACTGTGATGAACTTTCGGAACGAGAGGAGCTCTCTGCGGCACCTGATGTTGGCTGGCCAGACTGCTTCAACTCTGGAGTTTTTGTATTTAAACCATCCTTGGACACATTTAAGTCTTTAATGGATTTTGCTTTACAATTTGGAAGCTTTGATGGTTAGTACCTTGCTCTTATTGCTAATATGAATACAAGTGAGGACCATCGTGTTCCTGAAATGTCTTAACAGTATTCTCTTGTTATAGGTGGTGATCAGGGCTTATTAAACCTATACTTCAAGGACTGGGCACACAAAGACATCAGTAAACACCTGCCTTTTATTTACAATATGTGTTCAACAGCATGTTACTCTTACTTGCCTGCGTTTAAGCAGTAAGTACATACATGGTTGGCATCTTTGGCTTTCATAATTCATTTCTACATAAAACTTTGTTATAATTCTAGGTTTGGCTCTAATGCTAAAATTGTTCACTTTATTGGAGCCTCCAAACCTTGGATTTGCCATCTGGACTCAGAGTCTAGATCTGTGCAAGCTCCTGGGGAGTTTAACCACGTGAAAGGCCTATTGCAGTATTGGTGGGATGTTTTCTGTCAAGATGTCCATTCAAATCTATCGCCAGCTATGGTAAGTGATTTCACTCAATTATTGTGTTTGTGTGGAAGTTTACAAGAATTGGAGCTAACATTTTTGCACCAGTTTGGAGATTGATAGTAGTTACATTACAAGAACTGTAATGTAATGTATAATTTGTAACTGGACAAGGAAGGTACTATTGCTAATTGTGGTCTTTACTATGTTCTCCTCTGTTGTTGCTACTTAAAGGGAATTGAAGTGGAAGTACAAGTACAAGTACGAGTATGGTCTTACCTATTTGAAATACTAGATGCATGTTGTAATTCTTTTCCATCCAAGAAGTATATTACCTTTTTCCAGTTCAGTCGTATTAGTGTAAAATTGTTTATAGTCCCTGTTTTGCACCAAGTAGTTTTTTTAACAAATCTTTCTCTCTGATGAATCTGCATGTATTTCTCCTTTATTACTTTGTAGTTGTGATGAGTAGTGTAGTGTAGTTTCTTGCCCAACAATTTTTCCTGTAGATAAACATGCTCATACAGCTTATCTCAAATTCAAAATTTCTGCATTCAAATTTTTTTTCTTTCATTTTGAATTAATTTTTCTATTGCATTAAAAATAAACCAACTTATTTTAGATGAGCAAATCATATATTATTAGGCAATTTTTTAATTTTTTTTTATAATTTTTTTTTTTTTGTCTGTGTTATACTTGTTTGTTTCTTTTTGCCAACCTAATGCTTACCTGATGCTTACTTGAGCATGCTTCTGTTGCGTTGCACAGCACGTTGACTACAGCTTCTTCCAGTCTCCGCACACTCACCCTGCACATCATGAACTAGGCCCTACCCTGCCCACCCACAAACCAACTGCGAACACGTTTGTTGATCCCTGGGAGAATTATGTTGAAAGATATCAGCAAGAAGTTCAAATGCAAAAGCAAAAGGAAGACTGGCTTGTTATATTGAGTCAGGATGAAAGACAACGTGGTTGTGAGCAAGCTCAGAGTACTGAAAGTCATGAGATGCATGATGAACATTTCTGGAAAAGCAGCTATGATGCTTCAAATACTGACTTCAAAAATCAGAGTACTGCAGGTGATACTTCTAATAATTATAGTAATTATCACTATGAAAGTGATCATGGATCCAATTGGTCAAGCCAGGGATATGAACATGCTGAAAGACCTCCAGAGGAACATTCTGGACATTCTACTGCTCATGAATATCCTCCCCCTTCACATTCCCCTCCCTCTAACCATAACAACGACCATAGCTCCCAAGGGCAAGTGGACAACAATGATTCTGTAAGTACTTCTTCTACACCTAGCCTATATTTTATCAGAGTGGAAGTTCTTGCACCATGCTGATTCTGCATGGTTCAAGAATTTCTCCCCTGTCTGCTTAAATATCTGCTTCAGATACTGGCTGCTAGCAGTCAGAAAAACAAACCCTCCGCCAGACAGCATTGTAAATTATTGGTAGTCATAGAGGACTTATTGTTGGGTGGTGGCGTTTCGGTTATCTTCTATTTTTGTGTAGCTGTCTTGATTGGAAACGCCACTACAATCTATTGAGTTTGTAAGAAAATTTTATTTTCTTGGCTCCACTTGGCACCATTGCAAATCATAAATTCGTACTGTAAGACTTTGGTATAATGCAAGTCTTGCGGAGGAGCTCAAAATTTTGTGGCGTTTCCACCAAGTCTTTTGTGTCACTGACCCTACTGGCATCTGGTGGTTTTAGTATGGTTGAAAGTTTTTTATTGGGAATAATTTTGACTCTTAACTCTGTAATTAATTTTATGATTTGAATTTTTTCAGTTTTTCTAATTTTATTATGTAGATATTTCATCTCAAGGTTCAATTACAGTATATAAATAAGAAAAATGGAAAGCTTGAGAAAACGCCCCAATATTTTGCTCATTGTTTTAGAATGCTAAATGTCTTAACTAAATGCTCAGCTTTGAACTGAAGTTCTAGTCTCTGTAGTTTACCATAGCTTTTTCACATAGCTGTGATACAACAGTAACAAATTTACGGTACCTTCTTTAACTGCATACCTGACACACATTCTAGAGAAGGGAAGCTTTTCCTGCTCCAAAATAATGTTTAACTCAGAAAATTATATAAAAAGCATCATGGTCATGGTTTTATCTTTGTTTATACTCTAGAACTGGTTAGCTAATTTTTTAATATACCCTTCCCTTGGATTTCTACAGGCTGGTTTGGCAGGAGCCTTAGCCAATCTCACTCTTGGAGAACCTCGCTCAGCTGAACAGACTGCCCTGGAAGATCAGTGGCGACGCCAGGCCTGGGAACAGGGTCACATCGACTACATGGGTCGGGACTCATTCGACAACATCTGGAAGAGAGTGCAAGAAAGCTTAGGAGAGACGCCGGCGGCTGCACCTGCAGATGTGGCGGTGGCCATTCCAGCTGCAGCGGTCGCCCCAGTGCCAGCACCTGCCCCAGCGCCGGCACCTGCACCTGCACCAGCGCCGGCACCTGCACCAGCGCCGGCACCTACACCTGCACCTACACCTGCACCTACATCTGCACCAGCCCTAGCGTCGGCACCTGTTGCAGCCCCTGCACCTGTGCCCGCTTCTCCACCCACCCCTACAGTAACGTCGGCCACACCCCCTACGTCACCCCCGGTGAGCGGCCCCCCTCAGCCGCAGCCCTCCCCCGAGGCCCTGAAGGTGGACCCGTCTCCTCCCGGCACTCCTCCCGTCGGCAGCCCGCAGGAGGCCCAGGGCTCTGAGCCCCTCGACCCCAACGCCCCCGTCCCGCCCAAGAGGAAAGGATCGGGACCCTCTAAGGGTAAGAAGTAAGAGCTGTCCTTGGGGGTATGGTGAGAGGGTTCATTGGTGAAAGTTCGCACATCGCACTTTAGTGATGAAAGTTGTGGGTGGTAATGTATGTCATCTCAAGTCGAACTTGTGGTTTTCTTGATCCCTCAATGTTGTATTTTTGTACTTGTTTGTATGAAGAAACCTGGACGTTTAAGCAGGCTTAGCTTATCCTTTCCTCATGACTAATTACATTCTATCTTCACAGTATTTCATACTAATTTTGTTATATGTAAGAATCAGCATGTGATGGGAACACTGAATAAGATGCATGATGAGAAACAACCATCTGAAGCTTTCACCTACAGAGTAAATAGTTCCAGTGCATGGGCCTCCTGTTAAGTTAAGCATTTTGAAGCATTTATTTTTTGCTTTTATTATTGTTTCATATCTGGAGTGGTTGTAGTATCTGATTGTTAAACACTTGCTCTTTTGGTTTGTGAGCATCACTAGTATTTATGGCCTTTCAATCTCATGTTTTATACTGGTCAATGTTGCATTTGCCAATGACCCATGAGTTAGCCTTTTCTCTCTATCGCTATTTGATTTTGGTTACAGGTAGCACTAGTGAATCTGGCTCCTACTGTAGCCTTGCTTAAGTCATCACATCCTGCATCGACTGATCACTATCCTAGTCTACAAGTATTTTGTTTAAGACATTTTAAAAGTTACTGCCATATTTTCTCCTCCCTGTGCAAGTAGTCATTAATTCAAATGTGCCAAATGAGTGCCATATTTTGAATCTCAAGTTCCTTCCTTTTCCTACCTAATCATCTCTGGTAGTTTATTAAATGTGGCGCTCCCAATGAGCATTGCTGATTTGAGTGTGGTTTTTAATGCTGCTCATGGTTGTCATATTTTTGTAATTGTTACATTGCTCTATAGATTTTATTAAAATTCGTTATCGGTGTTTTATGTGGCCATAATTGTAGTAGATATATTGTTTTGTATGAATTTTATATTTTAAGAAAATTGTATTGATCATTGTTGTTTCTTACAAATTTTAAGGAAATGTTTATAATTTTGGAACTCAATTGACTGATGGTGAGCTTCTTATTGTGTAACTGGAGCCTGTGTTTCAAATTTTCTACTTATTGTGCCATCTTTAATGCATATGTATTTCTTTAAGCTTCATAGATTTGTTTTATTATTTGTGTTGGCATTGCCCAGGCCAGTTGAACCATAAATGACTGGCCACAATAAATGATACTTCTCTTGCCTTCCACACTTGTAACGCTTACTTTGTCTAGAGTCTAGTCTGTTAATCATGCGACAATAACAATAGCGTATGTGGGGAAGGACCTTTGTATTCAATCATCAAATAAAGTTATCATGATGTCAAGTATGTGAATACCAAGAGAAATTGATTTAATTACACTTCCCTCACAATATTTGAGATGCAGAACCATTAATTACCACTGCAAGCTATAAGTATTCAATTTTACTTAAATTTACTAACAAATTTTGTACTAAATTCAGTTTACATTTTAGCATACCGTATTCACCTGAGTCTAAGACCCCCTTTTTTCCCCGAAAATTCGTCGCGGAAGTAAGGGAGGGTCTTATACGCCCAGGTTAAGCCAAAGGGGGTCCCGCACACTTCAGAAGCCCGGAAACACGTTAAATACACTTTATACACGTCTCGGCGCCTCCCGTTAATTTTTTTTTTTAATTTGGGCCCTTTAAAATGGGTGGGGGTGGGGGGGGGTCCTACTTCCGGGGGGTCCTAGACTCAGGTGAATTCGGTACTTTGATTTGGTGTAGTTTGCTACAACTGAGATGACTGTGCAAGACAAAATTTATTTCTAGTTCCTGACCTTTGTCTTTAATCTCCAAGGGAAGCAACATCACAATAAGAAGCAAAACAAGAGGCGTATGACTGTGGTATCTAGTTGCCAATCATTTATTTTAAATGTTGCAAAGTAACTTACAAAACAGTATCACATCAAACTTACACAGTATATTTCTTATTAAAATAAACAGCCTATTGTGATGAAAAAAAGGTTATCACAAAGCATTGAAAAGTTCAACTATTAAAAACACAATAAATACAAGGACAGAAGAGAGCACTTAATTAAACAGCTGCAAGTAATGACTGCAGTTCAGCATTAGGAATTGGTTTGCCAGCAAACCCACAAAGTGCTCTGAAAACTCGTCGTCTTTCTGATTCTCTTTCTAATTGTGCTGCCTTTGAACGCCCAGCTCGAGTTATATGAGAAGGTACTCCAGCTAAACGAGCTGCATTGAAGCCATACGATTTGGGGCAGGCACCTCCAGAAAACTTGTAGAGGAAGGTAACTGTCTCCTCTCCCCCTTCGTCATTATCATCTTCAACCATACAAGCCTGAAAATTTTTAACACTTTTAATAACAAAGATAATCAGTTCATTTAAAAGTTATTGTACCAAAATGTTACAGCAATTACCATATGTCCAAGAGTGACTTGTTCGGAATTTTTAAACTCATCGACCAATGTGTGATAGTGAGTAGAGAACAGAGTTCTTGCATTGAGAGACGCCAATTCTCTAACTACAGCAGCGGCTATTGCTGTCCCGTCATATGTGGAGGTTCCCCGGCCTGTCAACAGCAATGATTTTTTAGTAAAAGGAAAACAAGACCTATTGAAGTATTCATTTGCAGCATGCAGAGCATAAACATACCAAGTTCATCAACAAGGATTAGTGAATGCTTTGTAGAATGGTGAAGAATTGCAGATGTCTCACTAAGCTCCACAAAGAATGTACTTTCACCAGCCATTATATCATCGTTGGCACCCAGACGAGTAAAGATACGGTCAATGGGAGAAAATTCACATTCTTGAGCAGGAATATGGCAACCCTAGACAAAAGAATAAAAATAAGTCAGTAAGTTCTGAATTCCTTCCCTTTCCTCCCAACTTGTTTTATTTTTCAACCTACCATATGGGCCATGATGAGGAGGAGGCCAGCTTGGCGCATAAGGGTTGACTTGCCTCCCATATTAGGACCAGTAACTAAAATAACACTTGCAATGCCATCTGTGCCAATCACTGTATCATTGGGGACATAGCTATCAAGTGTTTCACCAGACAGGCAGGGATGCCGTCCCTCCTTTAAACGAATGAAAGGCTGTAATTGAACAAAGTTGAGAGAAATAGCCCATTATTATTGATCTCAAAACATTGTAACAATATTTGAAAGTTTCCATTCCCTTACCTTATCACATTTGGATGGTTCAGTGATGACCGGAATACAAATTTCTCCCTCTTCCTTTCTGGCATACTCAGCCAGGGACATCAGCACATCAAGCACTGCCAAGCTCTGAACTGCACCATCCCACACTTCAAATCTGAGTACAAATAGAAACAAAAATTAAAATAAGAGCAGAGGAAGACATTTGCAAACCTTCTAAACATGTTTTTAAAAATTTCATTTCAATTCTTACTTAGAACTGAATTGAGCAAAAATTCTCCGATTTAAATCCTTTAAAACAGATGTTTTTGCCTCCTCAGCCTGGGTCATTCGAGCTAGAAGATCCTAGGAAAAGCAAAATTTATAGAAATGAATAAACTGCTCTAAACATTTGAAAATCATGGATAAAACTAAAGGCACTTACTTTAGTTTCTGGGGTCCAAAATCGTTTGAAACCTTTCTTTTGAGACTTTAACTCATATGTATTACCTGCTTTCTTAGCAGCATGTTCTGGTACTTCAAGCTGGAAGCGGTTCTTATCTGTCCCGAAATAAACTACCTAAAACAAAAGCGGAAAAGAAAATTATGTTTTAAAAACACAAAACAAAGACTACAGTAGTATGTGCTTAAAAAGTATTACCTTGCATGAAAAGTGACTGCATTGACTTTTAAGATATGCATCAAGTTCCTTTTTGATCTGATCATACTCTGAAACTGCACTGTCATAGTCAGGATCAACCCCAGTGCTAGGAATAATTCTGCCCTCTTTCTGAGCTTCCTCATGATCAAATGCTTTCTGATCATTGAGAAAAACAAAATTTAAGAAATGATTACATACATGTATGCCAAAGGTTAATCAGGCAAGAAAACTATGAATATGTACCTCAAAAAATTCCAAAGGTTCCTCTAGGTCTGGAAAGGTGCCATTTGGATATCCAGCTTTGGTGCAAGTAACCTGTTTTAGCAGATCTGAATTCATATTGTCCTTGGCACCTAGGATTAAACAGGAAGATTAATCAAACAAATAGGAAGTGAACGATTTGATTTAAAATCCTCAAAAAAGGCTCTCACTTTCAAAGAGACTTCCTATTTTATAAGCTTTCTTGAATCCATTCAGGGTAGCAATAAAGTCCATTATTTTCTTTTTGGAGTAAATTTGATCTTCATAAAATATTGCACGACTATCAGGATGAGTTTTACTCCTCACACTGTTACCTTGAGTGTGGATCCTGGAAGCCACAAATATGGGATTATTAAAAAAATTATTCAAGTTAGCAAAATGGTCAAAGTGTTGACTTACTTGCTAAGTAGCCTTTCCAGATCTGGTAATTCTGCCAGCATTCCTCTAGTCTCCTCCATCACATGGCTGTTTTGCAGAAGTTCTGATATGGCCTCTTGCCTCGAAACAATGTTGGAGACTGTTGTGAGCGGTGCACAAATCCATTGGTGCAGTAGTCTGTAAATAAGAAAGATTGCAACATTTAATAGAAGAATAAACATGGTAATCATTAAAATATTGATAAATAAAAATTAATTGAGAAGTTTGGTGCCAACAAAACCTTTTTCCAAATGGTGTACAACATTGATCCAAGGAGTTCAGAAGTGTGCCCTCATGGGTGCCAGCTTTGTTTTGAAGCACATCCAGGTTCTTTAATGTAACTCCATCTAAGATCTGTTAAATAAGAAAGTGCATAAGGTTAGTATACAAATTGATATCAATTGGAGCAATCTGTTTAAGAAATACATAGGTATATCCATACCATGTGACGCCCAGAGAGTCCAGGAAGTTTTGCTCCATCCACAGCATCAATTGGAATGTATTGTTCAAAACGACGCATGCTAAGGAGTTGCTGTTCGAGATGACAAGTTTGCAGGTACCAAGTAATTGCACCCAAAGATTTAACAGCAAGTTGGTATTCTTCAGCAGGGGAAAGACCAAGCGAGTCCACTGAAGGCAGAAATAATTAAATAAAGATTGCTGGTAAACAAAGTGATGAACTCTAATTCAGTAGATTGAATTTTACCATCACTGATGAACACTTTGAGTGATTCAGGCCATTCATGGGGCTTGCCTTCTTCAGAAAAGTAGTCACCCTCAGCTAGTTTTGAGAGTGTTTTGGAAGCAGACCAGAACTCAGATTCAGGAGAAAGAACTTCTTTCACTACAGCAGTTAACTGGCTGTTCAGCAATTGAAGAGTTCTATCAGAAAGGCCTCCACGCTCATACAAAACCTACAAAGCACAGAAATAAACCATAGATTAGACAGGCATCAAGTTGGAAAGCTTTAGCTGCAAAGCATAGAGCAAACACTCACATGAACAGGAGGATGATGAGCAAGAAGCATTAAAAGGCGGGAGCAGTGGCGATCATCTGTGAATTGTCCCATGTGAAATGTGCCAATAGATGTGTCAATGAAACAAACTCCATAGGAGACCTTAGAATCAACTTCCTGAAACAAAATTTTGCATTGATTATTTAGTGTGGCTTTGAGGACTACAATGTGTTAAATCCAATATAAAGTTACAATGTCAATGATAGTATTTACCTCTTCACAAATAGCCAGGAGATAATTTGTGGAACCCATATCCATAGGTTCACCATCTTGAACACCAAAAACTCTGGTTCCACGAGAAGTCACAGCACAAATCTCACGCTTGACAACTTTGTCAAACTTCGTAGGTTTAAGAACTAAGGAAGTTAAAAAAAGGAATTTGAATTTAAGTAATATTCAATAGTACAGCAAGATTTAACTAGATAAGATTATACAAACTTACTAGTTTTACATCGTTCATTCATCATATCAGGGGTCTCAGTTTGTTCCACTCTAGCTACCTTATATCCTTTATCAATGAGAGATGCCGAAAAGCGACCATAAGCTTTCTCTGGGAATCCAGAATGAGCAAAATCCCCTTTCATGTAAGTCAACTCTACTTCATTGCACCCAATCACAGCATCCATATGGTACAATTCATAGAATTTGCCCACTTTAAAGAATAAGACACAGTCATAGTGCTGTGATTTCATTTCCCACCACTGACGCATAGCTGGGGTCTGGTTCCTTTTGAAATCTTCTGGTACAAATAGAGTTCTGGGATTGTAATCTGGGTGATCCGGTCGATGTTTATTAGCATCGCGAATCTTTTCTGGTTTCAAAAAGTCAAGCTTGAGATGTGTCCATGAGCCATTTGCTCCCTCGCCAGTAGAGTCATTACTACCGTCAGCACTTTCAATGTTAGCAGGTCTAGCAGGACTCTATAACATTAGATAAATTATGTTTTAATTGTTTTTCACTTGATAAGAATGTTTTAATTATTGAACCTGTACAGTGACTTACATTCTTAGAAGCACTAAATGAGGCCAACTGATTTTTGACAGCAGTTTTAACAGTTGGTGTTCGGGGAGGACCCATGACACCATTCGGCTTTTTAGCAGCATTCCCTGTATGAGAGGCTTTTGCTGGTCTTTTCCGCTTCTTTGACTAAAAAATATTAAACAAGAGAGTTTTGCAGTTAGTTTGTACAGTTAAAAATTGCAAGAGTTAGCTCACGATTATAAGTACTGTAATGCACAATACCTTGTCAGGTGAAGGTGTTTCAGGTTCGTCAGCTCCAGATGTTTCCTCTTCAGATGGATTGTCCTCCTCAGAACCATCATCATCTGATGCACTTTCCATATCTTCATCCTCTGATGACCAAATGATAAAGATTTACTGTGTAGGTAATACTTAATTTTCAACACTACAGAAAATATGTTATGACTTACTTGGCTTAAATTCATCTTCTGAATCCTCACTATCAAGCTGGAAGGCACCTCCTTTCTTGCTGCCTTCATCAGTTGTATCTGTTTAGCAAATGTTGTTTTTTAAAAAAGAAACTATACCTGTTATGAAAACCAAATTAAAGCTTAAAGTTTACTTACTCATTGAGGTATCATGATCGCTTGCGTTTTCTTTATCCTCATCCATTTCAGAAAAGTTTACAATCAACTCTTCCTTTTCAGTATCACTCATTTTTAATGCCTTGTCTGCTTCCTCACAAGCTTTCTGCCATTCTTTGACCTGGGAAGTTGGCAAAGGTTTTCCTGAGCTTCCACCATACTTTTCTACCATCCTAATTTAATTGAAAATTTAGAGATTGGATTAGATTAATTAGAAGTTTCAATGCAATATACACATTCAAGGAAGAAGCTACATGAAACTAACTTTAACTTCACCCATGATCTTGTAGGAGGGTCATCAAAAAATTGAACGTGGATACTGGCTCCACGGAGAAACTTGTCAGAATCAGGATCATTGCAGACCAAACTGGGCCACCAGGGGTAGGAATCAAGTTTAGCCCATACAATATCTTTCAGTTGGAACTCTGAAACAGAAGACAAAAAATGTATTCCTCACCAAACCCAGAACAAAAACAATTAGCCATTGTGAACACAGCACGTCTATGTCCATTTTCTTCTGTCTGCTGTCTGTCAATTTATTTGCTACTATAATGATTATTTAGTAGGTCATCACACCAAAATTCAAAAAACTAACATGAGAAACAGAATGACCGCTCTGTCTCTCATTAATAAGGGCCATACATGCGGGTAAAAAAGTGTACACACTTGGCATCTTTGCTTTTATTTACATCATAAAAAGGTTTGAGGTACATAAAATAATTAGGAAACCAAACACACCATCAAGAGCACAGTTACACTACTTAGGTATTAGTCACACATGTATTGCACACATGTATTGCACATATTAGTAAAATTATTTGGTTAAATATAAGTTATGCATGCAAAAATATTGACAAATAGAGACATGATGTATACATCTACAACAAAGCATAAAATATTTGCAGGTGACTTAGATTAGAATAGATAATTATTCTTCACTCGTAACAATACTGATTTGGTATTGTTCACAGATTGATAAAATATCACTCTCATATGGTTTGAATTAAAAGTCATTAGTAAAAGACAATTTAAAGACAATACTGTAGTTGGATAATAAAAATATCGCACACACACATTAAAAACAAATTAATACTTAGACAGCTTTGAATTTTCTATGCAATCTACATAAATTTTCCAAGCTGACAATGAGTAGATTGAAACACTACTTATTAGCCTTCCACCTCTAACTCTGACTGCACTTCTAAAATTGACTTCATAATTTTATGCTTGAGCAAACGGACAGCTCTATCAGAATCTAAACGCCTCATTTCTGCTGCAACATACTGCCCAAAAGCAGCATGTACATCTACAGCCACGTTTTCAACACCTTCAGTTTCCTCACAGTTCTTCAACTTCTTTCCTTGAGGAATATCTTCACTTGATCTTTTACATGGAGAGTTGACAAACTCTTTATTCAGATTCCTAACAGGTCTTCTTACACTGCATTTACTAGGTGAAATTGCCACTTCCTCACTGGCGGAAGAACTACCCTCGCTTGCCAAGTACTCTTGAGGAGTGTGACGGCCTTTCATAGTTGATTCTTCATGATCCTTTAGAGCCTTAAATATGGGTGAGAGTAAAACATTCCTGGCATTTTCCTGCAATGCCAAAATAATAAAAAATAAATGAAAAATATAAGAATGCAGTAGGAGATAGTTATAGGATGTAGGGCTTAAACCACATGGATGAGTTATCATTGGAACACAAAAACACTGCTTACCTTGTTTTTCTGCGGGCTCGAATATTGTCCAATTTTCTTATTTTGGGGACTAAGAACATTACGCAAGAAGTGGGGCTCATAAACACTTGGAGACGAGGCAGCAGCATCAAGCAGTTTGCGTTGTACTCGAGTTCTAGGACTGGCAGCATACAACTGATCTCTGAGAACTAAAAAAAGAAATAAGAAAGAAAGGTCGCAACGATTAGTTCAGAAGTCTCCAATAAATATTAGTTAAAGTGATAGAAAAATCACCACAACCATAACAAGACATAAGGACAAGTTTGAAGCAAGACCCATTAATATTACTAATACCTACCCGAAAGTAAAAAGAGAGAACAACATAAATTCAGAGTTAAAGTCTTCACTTTCTTGAATAAAACAAATATTATAAAAAACAGGAAGAAGAGACATTAATGACTCCTTCAACAGAGATCGGTATTTAGCAGTTCTAAGTGTGTCAGTTTACAATCAGGATCACTACACCAACAGTATTGATTAAAGGAGAGCAGATGTCCTCCTGACTGACAGCTTGTCCACGAAGGATATCAGTTGATGTAAATTGTGTGAACACTAATAGGCTAAGACTCGACTTAAAATTGTAGATCAATTAATAGAGTGTACAAAGTAAAGCAAATGTCAGTAACAAAGAAACGAGCACAGCAATAATTTGTACAGGTTAAGATGGGCCCGTATTGCGACGACAATCAAAAAGGTTCCCCTGAACCTATAACATTGTTACTTCGGGATAGTGCTTCATTCAAGAGTAAGAAAAGTTGTCGGTAAGATTCTCACCCGATTTGGAGCTTTTTGGACTGTCTTGAGCGCCTGACCGCGCCGCACTAGAGAGGGCTCGCTTGGGCGTCGCGGACGGCGAATCTGTCACTTTCGATGTCTTAGGAGTTCCTGGAGCGGGACTTCCACTCGGAGACGCTTTCCCCGCCGGCGATTTTCCAAAATAATTAAACAGCGTGTTCTTTTGAGCAGACATTTCTGATCGTTTTCAGCTTTCAGCCACACCTACAGTCAACGGACAATGAGTCCGTGGGGTGTTGAATGTTGAATGTTATAGTTGAGGTTGAGGTTGTGTTGTATTGTTGACAAGATTTCGCGCCAAAGTGCTGCAACAAAAAAAAAAGGTGGACCTTCGAAAAATATTTTGGAAGATTTAAGCAAAGAGTGGCGAAAATCGTTTGTTTCAGATAATAAAAAAATTCTTGCTGTTTTTTTCGGCAAATTTCGCCTTTGAGGACAATTTTTTTATGACAAAATGCTCAAAGGTGCAACAGGCAACAGGTGGTAGAAGTGCTGCAAGTTTAAACTGACATTTTGTAGCAGGCTTCGAAAAGAGAGACAGACGACGGAGTGAGAGAGTCGATCGTAGTCAACGTAAACATTATTGTTTGTAGTCGGCCAAACTTTTAACTGTACGTTTTTTGAAAAGGACAGTTGTTTCATAGTTCTATGTTGCAAGTTTGCGCGGCCTGGGCTCCTGATTTTGATAGATGTTAATTTGTCATTTCACCGTGGTTTGATACAGTTTGAGTTGCCTGCCCCCCTGTGACGGTGGTTCTTCATGGTAAGTCGGGGTAAATAACTTGGAAATTGAAATGCGACTACTTCTGGGTCTTTGTCTGCGAACCCAGAGGCGGATATGCTCACTCTCTTACTGACAATCTCGAAAGTCTTTTACTAACCAGTGTCGAATGGACGAGTTCAATGTAGTAAGTGAAGGAGGTTAGAGAGAGCTTCGCTAAGATTTTCCTTTCGGTTACGCTAGTGTCGCCGGGCATGACACAACTTGGGCCATTGTCATGACAGACCTCCTATCTACAAGGAACATTTTAGTGCCTCCTCGATTGATCGGAAATTTTTGAAAGACTGCTGTATTGGCGCCTGTTGCTGTTCCTCTATGCAATTAAATTAACTTTGAAGGGTCTTTGCATTTGTTTTGCAAACTACTTTAATTGTTAATTATAACACCTGTTATGTTGCTTTTCTTATTGTTTCAGTGAAAGCAGCAAACACCTGAGTACTCTCCTTTGCTGGTGAATGAAGCGTTGGCGTGCCCTACACATCTCATTCATGACATAGTTGGTATGTTGATTATCACTCTTGTGTCTTGGGGTTTCAATCTAATACTCTTTAGCAAATCTTGATTGAAGGAGGTAATGGAAGGGAACACCTGTTGGAATGATGCATGTGGGTAAAGCTGAAAAGAAGAATGCAGCGAACAACAAAACAGAAATCACCACGCTTTAACATGGTGACTTCCGTTTTCTTGTCCCCACATTCTTCTGCATATCAGCTTTTACCGGAATGGTTTATTGCATACAAATATTTTTAAATATAAATAGATATGTTTCCCATCCATTATCTCTAAATGAAGTCAGTCCATGTGGTTCTTAATTTTTGGTGTTTAGGGGCCTTTCACAAATAACGTCACACACCCTTAGTGGGGGAGGGGGGCAAAAGCTTGTGATGTCACCCGTTTTGCTAATTTGCATTGTTTGTTAAAAATACACCAATTTTACCCTGTCATATGGTATTATCTACCAAAAATTGTAGCTCAGACCGGTCAACCCAGGACACTTAACAAGATTTTTAAAAGTTGAATGTTTCTATTTGATCCCATCGATTTACCTGCACCGCAAGTTAAAAATACATCACTTAATAGTAATCTGCACTTTTAGGTAAATATGCCTATTTGTGCTGTCACTCCAGGGAGGGGGGGGGGGGGGGGGTCGGCCAAACCTTGAGAAATAAGGGCCGCCCGTTCTCAAGGCCAAACCGTGACGAATTGTGACCATAGGGGGGAAGGAGGTCAAAATTAGACAAAAAGGGCATGACATCATTTGTGAATGGTGTGAGTGAGCGAAGGAGGATGCACACGCGGGCGGCGGTAGACACGGCGGGGCGGCGGGCAAGGCGTTTCTTACAATCGAGAAAATACGTATGTACCTAATGGAAAATGATACCTTTGTAATGCAGAGATGTCACCTTAAACACTCATTTTATCACCTATATTAAGCCTTCGCGATTTATATAAAATTTTGTATGTTTTTGCGATTTATGTCGAAAATGTGAAGTCACAAGGGGGGGGGGGAGGGTCAGATTTTGTGATGGTGCGTGACCGAGGGGGGGATAACTTCGAAAAATCATTGTACAACCCCCAAAAAAGTCAAATTAAAATCAAAAAGTCAAAATTTCATTCAAAAATCAAAATGAATTTAGAAAAACCACATAACAAATCACAAAAAAGTCAAAAAAATCAAAATCAAATCAAAATAATCAAAATTAAATAAAAGATCTCAATACAAAATCAAGTCAAAAAGTCAAATTACGAGTCAAAAGAAGTAAAAATTCAAAATAAAAGGAACTGAAAGTCAAAAAAATAATCAAAAAAGTCAAAAAAAGTCAAAAAAAAAAAGTCACTTTACGTAAAATCATTGTACGCATTTCCCATGAGTGATCCCCCCCTCGTGCGTGACATGGGGGAGGGGCGGGGGTCAAAAAGTGGCCTAAATCGCGTGACGTAATATGTGGACGACCCCTTATCCCATTCTTAACTTTTTAACTCAAGTCTTAAGAGCTATAAACACCAAATGTTCCCCCCCAAAAAGTTTGCATGCCCCGATTAAAAGAATACACTAACCATTTCTGCATGGAGACTATTTGATTGTTTACTTTCAGTAATGTCTGCCAATAACAGATGTTGAACAAGAACAACACAGTGGTACATGCCTTTTCTTTTCGCTCTTGATATTACTTCCCAACTTGTCTTATTGCTTCACACTATTACGCATGTCAACCTTAACTCACTGTTCCACAGGGCATTGTAACAAAACATATCGCTATTTCAGATGTTTGTGAGTAACTGGTGCACAGAGAGGGCTTTTGTTGGAAAGCCCAAACAGTGCCTGGATTTTATTGCTATACGACACAACTTTTCCGGACTGTGCCTCATAATGAATTTCATTAGCAAATCAATCACGCTGCATTTTTACGCATGCGAGAAAGACAGAACAACATTTCTTTAAAATGCACCCGGAAAGTAAGAGCGTGTTGCCTGCCCATAGCAGTTTTTCTCTGTGTTGTCGCTGCCTGGTCGCCACTACTCCCAGAGAGGCGACCTGTTCAGCTCGATAATAATGGCGCGAGCGTGATGTTGACACTACCGTGACCTCATGACATGCACTGTAAAAGTAATATATCTACTGTTGAGCAATATAGTTTGATATACTTAAACTTCTAAACTGGAAAACGGGGGGGGGGGGGGATAGTTGTATGAAGAGGCACTCGGAGTGCAGTTTTCAACTGTAGTCCACACTTTTAAAGCACTGCGACATTCCTTTTTTTTTCTTTTTTACAAAAGTTTTTGTTTTTACCGTGTGACTTGAAACGCAAGTCGGGATTTGGAACAGAGGGAACAAAATAACGACGGCGTTTTGTTCCGCGGCGTCAGCTGCCTTCTGAGCAGATTTTTTGATTTGATTTTTGTTGTGATGTTTTGTTGGGGGGAGGGGGGCGTATGACCTTATTGAAGTTTCAGGGGGGCTTCTCGGGAACAACTCGGAGAACGTGAACGGGAACGGGAACGCGGCGGAGAAGAGAACGAACCGGTGAACGCGCCATAAGAGCTAATGGAGAACGTTCGTTCCCTGCGGCCGTTCCTTCACGCGTTCACGGCACTAGTCGTTATCTCACTTGGTTCCCGAGAACCCCCCCCTGGGGTCGGGGTTTAGCGCATCCACGACGTCATCCCATTTTTCGTAAATCGTATATCATCGAGTGAAAATCGTCGTACATCAATATTGTGTCTAAATCACGCCCAATCGACAATGTGTTTGATCGACGACTTCTCGAATATCACTTCACATCGTCGTCGATTCGACAGTGGGCCAAAATCATGTATGCATTATTTAAACAATGATGCGGCTGTTATTGCAGTTCAATTAAATTCTGCGATCCTACTAACAACAGTTCTCTTTCTTTTCAGCAAACAGGCAGTTTTCAGCATCAGTCTCCAATAGTAGTTGTGGTAACGAGTTCGTGGCCGCTAACATCTCGACCACCGACATCGAAATGCGCAGGTCGAAGCGTTTAGAGTGCGCAAGGCGCAGTGGCGACTGTGAGGACCAGTCAGGGAAGGAGAGATTGGAGTGCATAGTGGAGAGTGAGGGCGACACAGGAGAGGAGAAATTAGAGTGCAGAGTGAAGAGTGTGGACAACACAGGAGAGGAGAAAGTAGAGTGCATAGTGAAGAGTAACGACCACATAGCAGAGGAGAAATTG